CATTTAGAGGAATTTCTCTGGTTTGTTACTGGAATGACTTGACATAGATAAGAGTTCATTATAAAATGCGCCAATCCGAAATATCTTTTCTAGAATTTTGTTCGATTTTATATGAAATGATGCTACTCGCAGACGGAAATATAAGAAGGTGAGATATATGGAAGATAAAAAAAAAGAAAAAAAGAGAAAAAAGACTGAACTAAACACACCTCTTACGCAGCTCCTGACGGTCATCCCTTTCAACAGCGATCTGCCGTTGTCTAGCTTCCTCATAGCGCTCACTCGCTACAGCAGCACTACGCTTCCAAGCCTCCATTGACGCCCGTAAACGATCACCATCCGAACTAGGAGCACTAAAAACAAAAGATAATCAAAAAAAGGATAGAAGTTAGCAACCAAAGCATAACGAAAAAAACGATAGTTCTTCTGCTTCCATAAACAAAAGCACATGACTAACTCTGAACGGCAGAAAATAAGCAATGGCATGACAGGATAAGGAAACAGAGGATCTAAGAAAACTAAAGAAAGTTTGTGGAAAAACCCACGGAGGATCTGGCGTCGAGGCATTTCCATTGAGAGTTGAAGAAGGCGACTGGCCAGGCATCATAGCAACCTGCATTCTGCAAGCAGTTACCTCTAAAAATAAAAACCGATATGCTCATAAGAGTACATAGTGTATGAGCGCACGCAACACGAATAATATGACAATGCGATAGAGGCGGTCATAACATAGGAAAAATGTGCCGAAATATGTTAATCTTACCTCCAACCATAAACAGATCCTCTGTGTTCAATACTTTTCTAATCTAAGTCATTCAAGGACGACACGATAAAACAATGGATAATATTCCCCTTTTCTTCCAACAGTTTCAGGCATAGCATTCTTTTGCAAAAAAAGTAAAGTCAAATTAACCAAAAAATAAGCTTAATCAAATAAAAACAAGTAAAAATTACATCAAAACTTGCATAGGCTTCCAACAGATATTTTGGTATTGACATCTAGATGGTTTGGTATGCATTACTCCAGCTTCTCAGCAATAATATTCTCAAATTTTGTTGCACTTAGTGCAGTTGCCAAGCTCACCGACCGATGCTCAATAGCGAGAGAAGTCGAGAACCAAGCGTGGTATCGCCAATTAGGCAAATGTTTTCGTTAAAATTTTCGTCTTATTTCTTTTCTTGACTTTATGCCTCATTATAAGGTCAGCAC